GTCTGTGTCCTCTTCCGCGACCCTTATTTAGCCATACACGGGGTGACATAGTCTTGGCACCGTGTTTAGGATGTCTGGGTTGGAGCTGAGAGGAAAGCGAAAAGATTCTAAATTCCTTTCAAGAACAGTCATCAGGTATCTCTGAGACAGAAGGCGGAACCTTCTAGCTGCGGGCTGTTTGTTTCAACCATGGTCATTTTCAGCTCCCTGCCACGAGGGCCATTAATGCGAATGGCCAGTAAAGTGAGCAGCCTTATACTTAATGAGTCTCACATTCATCTGGTAGTGAAGGGGCTTTTCTGCCCGGGCTGGAGGCTGGGTCCTCCCAGCCGCTGATTCTCTTCAGATTCCCCTCTGCCCCAGGGGTGGGAGGAGTGTTAAGGTGAAGTCTCAGGTCCGCTGCAGAGGTCTCTGGGTGGCCATAGCCCAGGTGCTGAGGCCTGGGAGAAGTTATCTGAACCATAGGACCCCAAAACAAGTTGAGAGAGCCGAAGTCAGCTTTATCAAGAGGAGCCAGAGACCTAGAAGAGCCCGCCTAAGAAAATGGCTAGGCTGGAGACTGTCACCAGAGCCTGACCAGCTTTTCTGTGAGGCAAAGTGCATGGGAGGGCTGGTTGGGTTTTAAGAGCTCAAATGGTAATAGACAAAAGTTGTTGATTCTGTGATTTCTGTGATTTTTTTTTTTTTTTGAGCTCGATCTGAAGGCAGTTCCAGGGTTTCAGAAATGCCTTACACACAGACAGCAGCATTTGAATAAGTGACTTTTTAAAGTAATCTCTACACCCACTGTGGGGCTCGAACTCACAACCCTGAGATTAAGAGTCACATGCTCTACTGACTAAGCCAGGCAGGCATCCCAGACTTCTATTTTTTAGGATTTTTTAAAAAGTTTATTTTTGAGAGAGAGAGAACAGGGAAAGGGCAGAGAGGGAGAGAGAGAATCCCAAGCATGTTCCTCGTTAAGTTAGGAGCCTGATGTGGGGCTTGAACCCACAAACCATGAGATCATGACCTGAGCTAAAATTGAGTCGGTTGCTTTAACGGACTGAGACACCCAGGTGCCCCAGAATAAATGACTCTTAAAGATTACTTCTTAGATAATAACTTTTATCTAGATGTTTGCATTTTAATTAATTAATTAATTATTTATTTATTTATTATTTCTAGGAGAGAGAGAGACAGCGTGAGGAGGGGAGGGTCAGAGAGAGAGGGAGTCACAGACTGAAACAGGCTCCAGGCTCTGAGCTGGCAGTCAGCACAGAGCCCGGTGCGGGGCTCGAACCCACGAACCGTGAGATCATGACCTAAGCAAAAGTCGGACGCTTAACCGACTAAGCCACCCAGGCGCCCCTGCATTTTAAAAAATCATCAACTTCAGTAGGATAATTTTGCAAAATCATTTGCATTTCTGCTTATTAGTGACAAACAACTAAAAAATAATAGTGGCAACAGATAAATGCTTAATATTTGGGAAATGAAAGAAAGCAATTAAAGAAAGATGTTCATTCTCCCTAAGAAAAATAGAACAAGACTTGAATAAATGGAGAGATATTTTCAGTTCTAGAATCAAAAGTTTTAATGTCATTAAGACGACATGATATCCGATCTAGTTTATAGAGTTAATACAAATTAGATTCTCAATATGATATTTTATGGTAATTGGCAAAACCCTAATAAAATTAGATAAAATAATAGGCAAGTACACTAAGGAGTATTGGGAAAGGAGCAAGCCAGGTATGTGATTAAATTACTCTGTTTAATATTTAAAATATGGTGCAAAGGAGATTTAAGTTGTATTAGATTCAAAATAGGGGAGTAGATTGATAAAAACACATTAGAGATCCCAACAGTCCTAAATTTGTTACAAGATTAACACAATAGTTCAGGATAACAGAATAATAAGAAGGGAACCTTAAATAATAGGATTATTATTGAGAAAAGTTGATGTCAAGCATTTCTATCCCTTTCTGACGTTATCTGTCATAATAAGCTCTAGATGTTTTAAAGAATTATAGTTGAAAATATCTTTTACCAGTGAAAAAGATAGTACAGTTATCTCGCGATGGTGGAGGAATTAATTTCTCAAGTATTAAAATTATGAAAGGCAGGTTGGAAGGATTTGATCATATAAAAATTCAGCAACAACCTCCTTAATTAAAGTTCTTGTTTAAAAGGGAAAAAATGCAAAACTATTTGAAATAAACAAGGCTGGTAAAGATTAATTTTTAAAAATATAAAGAACAATTATAAATCTGTAGGTGAGCCATTCTCCACTAGGTAAACAGTTAAAGGAGATGAACAAATAGGGAGGGAGGAAGGAAGGAAAAGAAGTAAGGAAATACAGGCATCAAGCCAACATTTGGGAATATTTAGCCTTGTTAATAAATAAAACACAAATTAAAAACATAAGTCTATTTCACGCCTATTTAAGTAGCAAAAGTGATAAAACTTCTTGTTAATGTGCTTGCAAGGAAATAGACAAACCCACAGATTGTTGGTATATGTTTCCTGGAGAGCAATAGATCAAAAGGAAACACAAGTTGCCAGGAAAATTACTGTGTCTTTTGAGGCAATATTCCCAAAGGAATAAATCCCAGGAAAATACTGTAGAGGATGGAAGGTTATTTGTACAAAGGTAATTCTAGCCATGCTTTTTTTTAGAGTGAAAATCTGGCCCTTACCTAACCGCCTGACAATTTGATAATGGTTGCGCAAACTCGAAAAAATTAACCTCCCGTCATATTAATAGCTATTAGTACCATAAATCTGAGGACTTTGGCAATAGTTATTGGTAACATCTGTAAGTTAAAAAGTGGAATGATTGGTTATGTAGATACTGATAACTGTCAAATCATGTTTGTCTAATGAAAACAACATTGCTCTCAGGGTTTTGCAGTGATCTACGTCAGTGCTTCTTGGACTTTAATGTCATTAAGTCTTTTGGGGATGCTGTTGAAAGGCAGATTTTGATTCACTCTAACTGGGGCGGGGCCAGAAATTCTAAATTTCTGACACGCGGGAGCCGTGGGGATGCTGCTTATTGTCCCACTGTGTTTTGAACACGGAAGACTTAAGCCTCTTAAGGCACCAGATGGTGGCCACTAGCCATGTGTGGCTATTCAAATTTAAATTAATTGAAATAAAGTAAAATAGAAAACTTAGTTCCGAAGTCTCACCAGCTATGTTTCAGTTTCTCAGCGGTCGTATTTGGAAAGCTCAGGTTATAAAACAATTATAGAACAGTTCCATCATCCTGAGTGTTGTTCTCTTGGACAGTGTGAACCTGGGTCACCAGTGCCTTAGAGTGAAGGGCATTTCTGTTTCTTCTGTAGAGCTGTGTGAAACGTACAGCTAAGAGCTTTGTTCCATCATTTGTAGTCCCAAACCATAAAGGTAGGCATTGGTATAGAAGACATAGGAGAAGCAAAGCGATGGTTAGTTTTGTATCATTAAAATATTTGAGAAATGGAACCTCTTTTCCCACTGACTTTTGTTTTATGTTTATTTATTTATTTTTGAGAGAGAGAGAGAGAGAGAGAGAGAGAGAGAGCTGAAATCAAGAGTCCGAAGCTTAACTGATGGAGCCACCCAGGCGCGCTTCTCCTTGACTTTTATTGTTGGTCCGTAGATTATTTTTTTAAAGATTATATTTTAAAGTAATTTCTGTACCCAATGTTGGAGTTGGACTCACAACCCCAAGGTCAAGAGTTGCACGGTCTACCAACTGAGGCAACCAGGTGCCCCAATTCCATGGATATATTATGTTAATTATTCTTTGTCTCTCAGTGGGCAGTCATTTCCAACAAATTGGTTTTGGGTTCTTTGCCAGTTTTTCCCTAGTGATGTATATTAGCAGAGATACTATTTAAAGAAATATTGCAATATTGTATTTTACTTTTTTAATGTTTTTTTTTTTTTAATTTTTTATTTCTGAGAGAGACAGAGACAGCGTGAGCAGGGGAGGGTCAGAGGGAGAGCGAAATACAAAATCCAAAACAGGCTCCAGGCTCTGAGTTGGCTGTCAGCACAGAGCCCGACGCAGGGCTCGAACCCATGAACTGCAAGATCATGACCTGGGCCGAAGTTGGACGCTTAACTGACTGAACCACCCAGGTGCCCCTGCAATAATTTTAAAATAGATGTGTATAACTTGTAGGGAAAATACCTCCAGAATGGATAAAGAAGATGTGGTATATATATAGAATGGAATATTACTTGACACTCAAAAAAAAAAATCTTGCCATTTGCAACTGCATCGATGGAACTAGAGGGTATTACACTGAGCGAAATTAGTCAGAGAAAGACCAGTATAAGACTTCACTCATGTGAGGACTTTAAGATATAAAACAGATGAACATAAGGGAAGGGAAGCAAAAATAATATAAAAACAGGGAGGGGGACAGAAACATAAGAGACTCTTAAATATGGAGAACAAATAGAAGGTTACTAGAGGGGTTATAGGAGGGGAGATGGGCTAAATGGGTAAGGGGCATTAAGGAATCTACTCCAAAAATTATTGTTGCACTGTATGCTAACTAACTTGGATGTAAATTAAAAAATAAATTAGATAAAAATAAAAAAATACATCCCCCATCTCCCCCATCTAGGTATTTAATCAATTAGTATTTATATTTTTATTTATTTTTTAAAGTTTATTTATTTTGACACAGAGAGAGAGAGAACAAGCAAGGGAGGGACAGAGAGAGAGGGAGAGGCATAGAGAGGACCCCTACCGTGTTCCACACTGTCAGCATGGAGATTGGCGTTGGACTTGAACTCATGAACTGTGAGATCATGACCTGAACTGAGATCAAGAGTCAGATGCTTAACCAGCAAGCCACCCAGGTGCCCCATCAATTTATATTTTTAAAGTGTATTATTTAGGCAGGATTGGTTAACCAAAGGATGTGGGCACTGGTAACTGAAAGTTCCTTTGTTGATGATTTGTTTCTCTTTACTTCTGAGAAGTAGAAACACTGACAATTATCGTTTTCTTCCAGGAATTTGTGCAAATATTCTCACGAGGTGCTCTCAGAAGAGAACTTCAAGGTCCTGAAAATTCATGAGCTCTCTGGACTGAACAAAGAGGAATTAGCAGTGCTCCTTGTCCAAAGTGACCCCTTTTTTATGCCTGAGGTAAGTTATGATTCCTTAATTTAAGCAACAGAGAGAATATTATTGGCAGTGCTGTGTCGTGGATGTATTGGTAACACAATGACTCAAAGTTTCCACCAGGCTCTACAGATGGTAGTCAACAGGTGGCTGTTGCTGAGTGACCCAAAGATTTAGCAATTTCCTTCACTGTGTGACATAATCTGAAGATGCAGTAGTAGGAAGTTGATACTTTCAATCTAGGTAGCTTCCTAGAAGGAGGTGAGCTTTGAATCGAGGTTTTGAGAGATGACAGGGTGTGTTGGTTGGGGGTACAAGCAACACTATTGCACCAGAGACCTCAAAATGTACTCGTTCAGATAAAATAGAATTTTTGAAACTTATTTATTTATTTGGAGAGAGAGCAGGGGAAAGGCAGAAAGAGAGAGAGAGAGAGAGAGAGAGAGAGAATCCCAAGCAGTCTCTGAGCTGTCAGCACAGAGCCTGATGCGGGGCTCAAACGCACGAGATCATGACCTGGGCCCAAGTTGGATGCCACCCAGGTGCCCATGAAGGTTACACATTTTTTGACTTTAAGTTCATGTGTTTCCCTGAGGGGGAAAAAAGCTTATGACAAGAGGGGTGAATTTGAATTGACTACTGAGCTCAAGAGAGATAGGAGTGCAAAGCACTCTATAAAAATGTTTGGGGAGCAGATGGGGGGAGGAAAATATGTCCCATTTTCTCTCCATGCAACATGTGTTCTTTCACCTGGGTACTTGGATTTGTCTCTCTCTCCATTTCTAGGAGCCCAAGGTTTAGAGGTCTTTTCTTGAGATATCCATGGCCTTTGGCCTACATGTCAGCCCAGCTCCCCAAGGCTAGCAGCGTGGGGGAAATACCTTACACGCCAACTTCATTAAAGGTCCCATTGACGAACAGAAGCATCTCTCCCCTTTCCTTTCATGTGATGGAATGATGAATGAAGACTTGTTAGAATGCTTGAGATGACTCATGGTCTACCCTTAGTCTAGTGTTAAACTTGGAGATTTAGAAAGGTCACTTCGGTAGATCTGATCTCTTCTTCGGTTCTCCAAAATCACCAAGGACTTTTTATATCAGGTCCTTGGAGAATAAGGGCAGTGGCACATCTTCCATTCTCTAGGGAGGAGGCCGGCAATTAACAACCTACTAGAAGGTGTGGTTGCTGAAGGATCCCAGAAGAGCCTGTTGACAAAAGCTCTACGCGGGTCCTCCTAGAGGAATGCTCTTGTCATCTTTTTATCACACAGTCCAGAGAAGGGGGCACAGTCACCTTTCCCTTTTAAGAATTCAGTACCCATGATTAGTGGGTGGGGTGGGGAGGCTCATGGCTAAGGAACTTAATTGCTATTTGCCATTCGTCAGGGCTGAGATTGTAGACGGGAAGGCGGCCCTGTTTCCTGGACGAGAGGTCTGAGGGGCTGGTTCCTGTAGTGGAAAATCGATGAGCGCATTGGTAGCATGAATGTGTATTCAGAAATGTTGGGCAAGAGAAGTCCTTACAGAAGTGTTTCAGTGTGGGTGCGTAGGTGGAGGATTGTCGTAGGGGGTCAGCAGGAAGGAATCAGCCCGAGTTTAGCTAGTCCAAGGCACAGTTGTCACCGATGGTCCTTCATGTCTCTCAAAGTCCTGACTCTGCCACCAGCCACTTGTGTGATCTTGGACAAGGCATTTGATCCTTCTGGGTCTCACTGCATTTGCTGTTTGTCTTGCTAACATTTAGGAGCTCCTGCAAGTGGTAGGCACTGAGTTCGATCTTGGAGGCAGCAATGGACAAGACACACTCCTGCCCTAAAAGCCTTAAAGTGTTCACACTTTTCCACTTTGCCTTGACCCGTGAGAACATGAAAGCATCCAGCAAACCTGACTTCCTCGTGTCTAAGCTTGTAAAATTAAAGTCTACTTACTAAAGGAAGACATGCTGTCATTTGTTCTGGCCTAATAAAAGCAGGAACATTCTTAACTCACTCATTAGAACAGTCGTAGGATTGTTAGCCAATGTCATTTGTGAAGTTGCTGATTGTTTTTTTCTGCCAGAGCCTCGCGGAGGCTTGTTCTCAAGCTTTAGTGAGCATCAGAATTGCCGGGAGGGTTTATTAAACCTGAGAGGTGGACCCCACCTCTGATGACTCTCACTATATGCTGATATAGGGAAGGGTCTGAGGATTTGTATGTAAGTTTCCTGGTGAAAATTTCCTTTTAAATCCATGTCTTGGAATCCTGCATCATACGGTCTGGCCCCCATGACAGTATTTCAGTAAGAAATACTTATGCCTGCTTTTCAGTAGGAACTACATGTCTGTAGAGCTAGGTGTGTAGATATTTCTATTTACAAAGAAATATAGGGCCACCTGGTGGCTCAATCGGTTGAGCCCCCAACTTTGGCCCAGGTCGCAATCTCGCTGGTTCATGAGTTCAAGTCCCAGGTCAGTCTCTGTGCTGACAGCTCAGAGCCTGGAGCCTGCTTCGGATTCTGTGTCTCCCTCTCTCCTTCCGTCCCTCCCCAGCTCGTGCTCTGTCTCTCTATCTCTCAATAATAAAAATAAAATAAATATAAAAATTACCTTCTTTAGTTGACCTTTTGAGGAGCTTTGCCACATTCTACCTAGCAGAGACAATGGTTGTAAGTAAGACCCACGTGTCTTTTTTTTTTTTTAAGTTTATTTTGAGAGAGAGAGTGAGAGAGAGCAAGCACATGTGAGCAGGGGAAGGGCGGGAGATGGGGTGGGGAGAGAATTCCAAGCAAGCTTTGAGCTCATAGTGCAGAGCTCGACATGAGGCTCGAACTCATGAGCCATGAGATCATGACCTGAGCTGAAGTCAGATGCTTAACCTACTGAGCTACCCAGGTGCCCCAACCCATATGTCTTTTTAATTGCAGAATGACTTGATAGCCTTCCTCTTTGGGGTTCCTTTGTGAGGTAGGGCTCCCTTTGGGTCCTGTTTGATCCTATCTGTAGCTGTCCATCTTAGTTTGATTCTTCCAAAGGGTTATTAAATTCATGTTTCTTTTCGTTAGTTTGCAGGCCTCTTCTCCCCCAAATAAATCATCAGTGGAAGACACGTGCATTTTGTCCTTTGGTGTACGTCTGCTTGCTTCCAACATTTTTGTATACTTAGGCTTTTCTTAATGCACATGTGGCAGATACGGGAAGGTGTTATCGTCTCCGGCTATTGTTTTTCTCTTCTGCAGATATGCAAAAATTATAAGGGAGAGGGTCATAAAGTTATCTGTGACCAGTATCCATCTTGCGAAAGGCTCCACATCTGCGAGCACTTTACCCGAGGGATTTGCGGTTATGCCAACTGCCTCAGGTCCCATAACCTGATGGACAGAAGGGTGCTGGCCATCATGAGGGAGCACGGGCTGAGCTCCAGTGTGGTTCAGAACATCCAGGATATCTGCAACAGCAAGCACGGCCGCAAGAAACCCCCCAGGGGCAGAGGTAAAGGCTTTTCTCCTTCTCTTTTTTAAAATTTTTTAAACATAATTTATTGTTAAGTTGGTTTCCATACAACACCTAGTGCTCATCCCAACAAGTGCCCTCCCCCATGCCCATCACCCCTCTTCCCCCCTCTCCCACCCCCATCAGCCCTCAGTTTGTTCTCAGTATTTAAGAGTCTCTTATGGTTTGCCCCCCTCCCTCTCTGTTTGTAACTTTTTTCCCCCTTCCCTTACCCCATGGTCTTCTGTTAAGTTTCTCAAGATCTGCATATGGGTAAAAACATACGGTAACTGTCCTTCTCTGCCTGAATTATTTCACTTAGCATAGTACCCTCTAGTTCCGTACACGTTGCTACAAATGACAGGATTTCATTCTTTCTCATTGCCATGTAGTATTCCATCGTATAGATAAACCATTCATCAGTTGATGGACACTTAGGCTCTTCCCATGTTTTGGCTATTGTTGAGGGTGCTGCTATGAACATTGGGGTACATGTGCCCCTATGCATCAGCACTCTTGTATCCCTTGGGTAAATTCCTAGCAGTGCTATGGCTGGGTCATAGGGGAGTTCTATCGTTAACTTTTTGAGGAACCACCATACTGTTTTCCAGAGGATCTGCACCAGCTTACATTCCCACCAACAGTGTAGGAGGGTGCCCGAAACCACATCCTCGCCAGCATCTATAGTCTCCTGATTTGTTCATTTTAGCCACTCTGACCAGCTTGAGGTGGTATCTCAGTGTGGCTTTGATTTGTATTTCAGAAGACACAGAAGGGGAGTGTAACTTTACCTATAATCATTCTGTTTCCTAGAGTAAGACTATTTTCCCTTTCAGACTTCGTCTACATGTATCCATAATATAATCATAGCATCTGTGCAGTTTTGCAGTTTGATTTTGATGCTAACCTCTATCCACCCACCCCACGCCAGATTTGTTAAAATGTTTATTGTTTTTCTAAAAGTTAATTGATGGGACACCTGGGTGGCCCAGTTGGTGAAGTGTCCGACTCTTGGTTTCAGCTCAGTTCATGATCTCATGATATGTGAGTTTGAGCCCCACATTGGGTTCAGCGAGGAGCCTGCTTAGGATCCTCTTTCTCCCTTTCTCTCTGCCCCTCCCTTGCTACTGCTGTCTCTCTCTCTCTCTCTTTCTCTCTCTCAGAATAAATAAATAAGCTTTAAAAAAAGAGTTTTAAAAAGCTAATGATAAAGCTTTTTCTAAGGGAGGAAAACATAACTTTTTTTGTTCGTTTCACCAGTTGTTAACATTTTGTTCCAATAATATTCTGTCACAATTGTTCTATCACTTTGTCTCGTTATATCATCAACACTGACACACACATATAACGTGTTTGTGGTTAGAGCATTTGAGGTATGCAGTCACCAGAGGCCTTCACGCCTAAATGTATCAGCATGTACTTTCTCAAAATGAGAGAAACCGTAACCACAATACAGTTTGATGCACAAAATCTAGCATTAATGCAAAACTATATGCAATTTAATTACAGTCCTCAGTAGTATTGGAATACTACATTTCTTGGAAAATGTATTTATCTTTACTTTTTATTTTTATTACTTTTTTTCTTAAATGTTTATTTCAGAGAGAGAGGTAGAGAGCCAGTGGGGGAGGGGCAGAGAGAGGGAGACAGAGAATCCCAAGCAGGCTCCATGCTGTGTGAGCACAGAGCCCTACGTGGGGCTGATTTCACAATTTCGAGATCATGACCTGAGCCAGTATCAAGAGTTGGACGCTTAACCAACTGAGCCACCCAGGTGCCTCCTGCCTGAACCATTTTTAAGTGTTCAGTGGCACGAAGTGCATTCACATTGTTTTACAGTCGATCTGCAAAACTTCCTTCCCCTTGCAGAACTGAAACTGTACCTATGAAACAAACACCTCATTCTCTCTTCCCCCCGCAGCCCCTGGCAACCACCCCGTTCTACTTTCTGTTTCTATGAATAGGACTACTCTAGGTGCCAAACATAAGTAGAATCACACAGGAATTGTCTTTTTGTGACACTGGCTTCTTTCCCTTTGCATAAGATTCTGCTGTATGTACATGTGGCTGTTTGTGTATCCATTCAACCATGGCTGGATACTTGAGTTGCTTCTGAGTTTGCTGTTGTGGATAATGCGTGGAAACGTGTGGAAACATGGGGGTACAGATGCCTGTACTTGAGGCCTTGCTTTCCGTTCTTCTGGGCGTACAGCTGGGAGTGGGGCTGTTGTATCAGGTGGTAATTCCGTGGTTAATTTTTTGAGGAATCATCATCCCATTTTCCATAGCACTTGTGCCATTTTCTGTCGCCACCAGCAATACAAGAGGGGCCCAGTTTCCCCACCTCCTCACCTATACTTGAAGACTTGTTATTCTCTGGTTTTAGGTTATTAGGCATTACAATGGGTGGGAAGCGATCAGTTCTGTTTCTTTTTTGAGATTTTTTAAAATGGTGTATTTATTCTTATTTTGAGAGAGAGAAAGAATGTGTGTGCGCAAGTGGAGGAGGGGCAGAGAGAGAGGGAGACAGAGAATCCCAAGCAGGCTCTGCACTGTCAACGCAGAGCCCACCGCAGGGCTTGAACCTACGAAGCTGTAAGACCATGACTGAGCCAAAATCAAGAGTCAGACGCTTAACCGACTGAGCCACCCAGGCGCTCCGGATCAGTTCTATTTCTTAAGCATTTTCGCATTGTCTAATGATATTAACACTTGCAATTTTCTTATGCCTTGGTGACATGGCTGTGAAAGAGGTGAATTTTACAAAGCAAATAGAATACATAATTCTAAGAGTCTACAATACATAAGAAACAATAACACCTCCTTATATTTGAGAAATGCTTTATAATTAACCAGGGATTTTCACCCAAAATATCTCCTTGTTGTTCCTGACATCAAAGCTATGAAGAAAGGCAGGAGTATATTAGGAGCCTTAATATACTTAATTGATAATTAAGTATACTTAATATACTCCTTAATTGATAAGGAGACTGAGGCTCACACATTTTAAATGACTTTTATTGCAAGCGGTCCTAAATCGTTTTTACTATGAATAACTAAAAGTAATGCTTTCAAGGCCTCATGCTGCTAGACAGAGCTTAGGTGTTCTGCCCTCCACCCCCCCCACGCCCCCGGGGTCTGGTGTTTTTTCTCTCACATCACAGTGCTCTCTGAACAGGGAAACACTTGGAAGGATGTTTTCTGGTGTAGTTTCCCAATATAAATTCATTGTGTGAGAGAGAGATCTTTATTTATTATCCCTCCTGGTTAATTTACTTAATTAACCATTTTGTTGGGTGTAGAAGGACGTTTGCTTTTTACTATATTCCTGCTGCCCTCTGAGATTTGAAGAAAAGGACCTCTTCCTCCCCTTCCCCACACACAGTAGCTAATATACCATACACACCTACTTCACACTACACCTCTCGCACACCCATATCTTCCTGAGGGACACAGCTCACACACCAATTATTTTCTTTAAATGCTTTTTTAAAAAGTTTTTATTTATTTTGTGAGAGAGAGAGAGAGAGAGAGAGAATCCCAAGCAGGCTTCATACCGCCAGAGCCCGATGCAGGGCTTGAACCCACAAAGCCTCAAGACGGTGACCTGAGCTGTAACAAACCGAGCCACCCTGGCCCCCCTCTCACACACCAATTATATGTCACATACGTGTGCATCTCTCCCTCTCTCACTCATAAACAACCCCCCTCACACACATACTTCTTACATACACATACCTCATGTATGCATGCACACCCAGCACAACACACACCACACATAAATGTCACACACATACATGTCAGACACACACACACACACACACTTCACACACACTCACAAACACTCCTGCTCACTCCCTCCCTTCTCTCTGCTTCCTGGGGAGCGTGACCCTCAGATTTCTTGAGAGAGAGGCCACTTCTCTTCGATATTTCTCACTGCAGCTTAGGCATTTGGAGACTAGATGAAAAGCTCTGGAAAATTTTGTGAATCCTTAATTTGTTCGGGAACTTTCATCGCAATACGGGCAAAATCTAAATGACTTGGAAAGTCCTCCGTGACTTGCACCTAGTTGGTTTCTCCATTCGCAGTTGACCGTTGGCTTGAACTAGAGCGTAGTGAACAGCCCCACCTGTGAGTTTGGGGGCTTAGGGTTTACATCTGAGTCTCAAGAGAGAAGTCAAGAAGAGCCAGATTCACTCTGACTCCTACCTGAGGCCATGGGGTGGTATTTCCTACAAGCACAAAACAGATCCCTTCATCATCTGAACACGCTGCTCCAGGTTTTCACACACCAGACTGGGACGAGTGATTGGATAGAGCTTGGGTAGCAAACCTGGAAAAGCTGAGGAGGAACAGTAAGTAGCGAGAGCCTAATCCTGTCAACGCTAATTTTCCTTGTGTTTTTCGTTCACTAGCACCTTCCGCCTATCGTAGAGATACGGCCTATGGAGGGAGAAGCAAGAGCAGAGACCGATCATTCCAGGGCTCTCTCGAATTTCTTTCATCTGCTTCAGCTTCTACTCAGAAGCCCTCCAGCCCCGGCCCAGATCAAACTGACCACAGGCCTCCCCTGGATGACAGGCCTGTAGAGGAGCTGGCCCGCAAGTTCATGCATTTGGGAAATCAGGATTCCTCGGCCTCGCCTAAGGCTGATAATCTTGGAAAAACAGGTCAAATGGGAAGGAACCAGCGGTTTTCAGAGAATGGCAGTCCAGAGGATCTCTTTTTCAGGAATCTAGGTGGCACTCCCGTCCCTTCTGACGCGACGCCAGCTTCCAACCGGAAGGGCCCTGGGTCCTGGCTGAATGACAAAGGCACCAGTAGAGAGAGGTTGTTTTCCCCGAGTCAGGCTGCCTCTGGCTCCCCTCTGGGTTCTCCACAAACACCTGACACCATACCCGCCAGAAAGGGCGTGGGCGCCCTCTCCTCAGACGGCACGAATGCCGAGGGCAGAAGCGGGAATCAAAATGCCCAGTATTTCCCACTTTTTAGTAACGTTGATGGGATGGCCACAGATAGTGCTTCCACAAGATCTCTGAATTACAGAACCACAACCAGCGGACAGAGAGAGAAATCGTTACCGCGGAATCAGGACACCGGAACTACTCACAGTCGTCTCCAGACCCCTGGCAAGCTTACAGATGGCCGTGGGCCGGCAGCGGCTTCTGTGAACGGTAGCCACAGTGAGAAGGCAATGTGGCCTGGTAAGTCCGTCCCCCGCGCGCCAAATGGTTCTAGTCCAGTTGCAGATGAAGCCACTGATGTAGATAAAACTGGTGCCTCCAGTGTTGGCTTCACATTAAGCTGCAGGGGGGATAAAAAATGTGTTGCGGTTTGGAAGTCCCAGTCTGGGAGCCCAAGTCCCACTGACACCTCAGGACACCCCTGCCCCCACACAAGTCAGCCCTCTGGCCAAGGTGCCACCTTCTGTACCCTTCTCAAGCAACAGTGCTTCAGCCTCTGAAACCCATGGTGCCAAGTCTGCCCAGAACTCTGCTGGCCTTGCCAGTGACCTTGCAGAGCCTCCGAGCTGTGCTCTGTGTAAGTCACTGAAGGACAAAGCGGGCCCCATGTCCTGCATCTGCAGCAGGCTGGTGGCTTCTCTTTGGATGTTCCCCAGTAGATCCTAAAAGGCATAGAGTCAGAGGGTCCGGTGAAGGGGTGGTACTGGTGAGGAGACTGACATAAAGGTTGAAGGACCAACCAGTAGGTTCATATGGAATAAGCTGCCTCATTTACTGAGAACAGGACTAGTTTGCCCGTGGTTTATTTTGGTCATTTTTAACCGTCACTGTCACATGACCCTAATGTTCGTATTTGCTTTTATGGAGGGGCTGTCTAGGCTCTCATGAGCAACACATGAATCTGGAAAGTTCTCGAACACGGTCCCTCTTACAGATATTTCCCATTGTGAGGTCAGGTGTCTTGATTTTTGGTCTAAACACTAAGATCAGCACACATGCTTCCTCTTTTGTTTTAAAGATTCTGCATCTAACGTGGAGAACATGAGCTCTTCCAGGACAGATGATTGTGCCTCAGAGGAAATTTGTCTTGACCATCTGTGTGAAGGTTGTCACCTTGGTGAGTAAACTAAGGACTTTCTAGAAGCAGAAGCTTTATTAATAGTAATACGGCCAACATTTCCTGACTTTTTACTGTATGTTAGGTGCATGGCCAAGAACCTTACATCCATCATCTTTGAAATTCACATCAGCCCTAAAAGAAGGTTCTTTTCTTAACCCATTTTACAGCTGTGGCAACTAGAGGCACAGAGAGGTTAAGTCCTCACATACATAAGTAGCCAACTTGGGTTTTGACCCTAACCTGCCCAGCCAGCCTGGGTTCTTGACCACCACGTGATAGACTTTCTTCTTTTGTCATTCAGTTTTAGGTGAAATATCCTACTAAGAGACCCATCTTGTCATCTACTAAAAGCAAACAAAAATAAATCCCAATAAAGAAAGGTCTCCCAGTGGACACATTTTCACAGCTCGTGTCCTGCCTTTGAGGCATTGTCTTTCTTCTGGGCCATGGGCTCGTCACGTGAGCTGAGAGTCCTGCACGCCACAGACGTTGTGCCTTCCAGCCGAGGAGCCACACCTGGTCACTGTCCCCTCCCACCAGGCTTCCCATGGACCTGTCCCCGGGACAGTTGGCTGTCCCCTCAGTGTCTAGCACTTTCTCCCTCTCATGGCTCTGCCCCAGACGTGTGCCTCGCACCAGATCTCCTCTGCGTGACCCCTGAGTGGTCTTAGACTCACTGACCTGGGGTCGGAAAAGGAAGATGCCACCCTGTGTTCTCAAAATCAAGTCTTTAACTTAAATTTTTTCCTTTTTAATTAGTGGTGGTAAAATAGACATAAATACATTTTACTATCCTAATCATTTTTTAGAGTTTATTTACTTTGAGAAAGAGAGAGAGGGACAGAGAGAGGAAGAGAGAGCATCCCAAGCAGCCTCCGAGCTGTCCGTGCAGAGCCTGATGAGGGGCTCGATTTCACGAACTATGAGATCATGACCTGAGCTGAGATCAAGAGTGAGACGTTTGACTGACGGAGCCTCCCAGGCGCCCCCATCTTAATCATGTTTCACTGTGCAGTTCCGTAGTGTTAAGAGTCACACTGTCATGCCGCCAAAATCCAGGACTCTTGTTCCTCTTGCAAAACTAAAACTCTAATGCCCTTTGAACAGCAAGTCTTCATTCCCCAGCTACCTCCAGTCCCTGGCAGGCCACCGTTCTCATTTTTGTTCGTTGGGGTAGGACTATGCTAGATCCCTCGTGAGTGGACTCACACAGTATTTGTCTTTTTGTGACACTGCCTTATTTCACTTTGTATCACGTCCTCGGGTTTCATTCACGTTGTAGCCTGTGTGAGAATGTCCTTCCTTTTTAAGGCTGAATAATATTTTACTGTGTGTATATACCATGCTTTGTTTATCTGATCATCTGTAAATGAATACTTGAGTTGCTTCCACCTTTTGACTATTGTCAGTAATGCTCTTGTGACCTCGGGTGTGCAAGTGTCTGCTCAGGACCTTGCTTTCGCTTTTTTGGAGGGTGTACCCCCAGGAGTGGAATTACTGGATAAGATGCTAATTCTGTGTTTCTTTAACAATTTGTTTGGGCGGGTCGCTTGGGTGACTCAGTCGGTTGAGCATCTGACTTTGGCTCAGGTCATGATCTGATGGTTCATGGGTTTGAGCCCTGTATCAGGCTCTGTGCTGTCAGCTCGGAGCCTGGAGCCTGTTTCGGATTCTGTGTCTCCCTCTCTCTCTGACCCTCCCCTACTCACGCTCTCTCTCTCCCTCTCTCTCAGAAATAAATAAAAAACATTTAAAATATTTTTAAATAATCACACATCTTTTGAGTATTTCAAAATGATGTAAACATGATGTACTGAAAACTGTGAAAGACAGAACTATTTTCTGTATTCCTGTGTTAATGGGCTTATGATGTTAATTCGTCATTTTGCAGCTTTGTATTCAGTGCGTACCCCTATGCCAGTTACGTGAAGGGGGCGTAAGCCAAACAGTGATTTTGTTCAGTGAGTTTATAATTAAGGTGGTCATCAAAATATCCACAAATGAGAAAATGGCATAAAATAAGTATATAAATCATTTAAGTACCAACTGGGTACTGAGCACTGGCTAAGGGAATACAAAATACAAGTCAGATCAATCAGAAAAGAGTTGAGTGGGGGCGCCTGGTTCGCTCAGTCAGTTTAGCATCCTATTTCAGCACACGTCATGATCTTGGGGTTTGTGGGCTCTAGCCCCATGTAAGGCTCTGTGCTAACAGCTGAGAGCCTGGAGCTGCTTCAAATTCTGTGTCTCCCTCTGCTTCTCCCCTGCTCGGTCTCTCTCTCTCTCTCTCTCTCTCTCTCAATCTCTCTCTCTCTCGGAGCTGTCCGCACATGAACCATGAGATAATGATCTGAGTCAAAGATGGGCGCTTAATGGACTGAGCCACCCAGGTGGCCTGGAATTTTTGTTTTGTGATGAGTCTCTGTGGGTAATAAGGGAACTTGAACTCGCGGATATGGAGCAGTACAGGCTGGAACCAGAATGGGCAAAGGCATAGACTGGAAATGTGTTAGCCTGCAGTCCCGGCAGGGTGGGAAAGGCAGCCCTCAACGGGAAAAGTCAGCAGTGAACTTGATTGATTGTAAGAACCCCCACTCAACAGACCCTCAGACCCCCTCTTTCTGTCTTTGTAGCAAGCTGCAACAGAGTGCACTTCCACCTGCCTTACCGGTGGCAGATGTTACTTGCAAACACCTGGATTGACCTGCAGCCCATGGAGAACATTGAGAAGGCCTACTGTGACCCCCAAATCCGAACGTAAGTTCGTGGCCAGCCTCTGGCCTGTGAGGTCCCCAGCACCATCAAAAGAAAGCATGGTGCTAGGCTTATGGCAAGAAGGAAAAACAATTTTCCTTCGGAATCCCGTTCAAGTCTGAGATAACTCTTGAGAAAAAAAGGGCAAATACCTGCTGAGTTCATGAAGAAAAGCGTGGCTGGGTAGGTTGGAAATCACAAAGAGCCTGGCTAATACTAGGGGTCCTGGGACTATTTGCAAACTGATATGATTTTTTTTTTTTTTTAAATCAAGCTTCATTTTATTTTATTTTTTTTTTAATGTTTTCTTTATTTCTAGGAGAGAGAGAGAGAGAGACAGCGTGAGCAGGGGAGGGTCAGAGAGAGAGGGAGTCACAGACTCTGAAACAGGCTCCAGGCTCTGAGCTGGCAGTCAGCACAGAGCCCGACGCGGGGCCCGAACCCACGAACTGCGAGATCATGACCCAAGCGACAGTCGGACACTTAACCGACTAAGCCACCCAGGCACCCCATGATTCAATTTTTTTAAATAAAAGTAATATTTATTTTTGAGAGAGTGAGAGAGACAGAGCTGAGGAGGGGCAGAGAGAGAGGGAGACACAGAATCCAAAGCAGGCTCCAGGCTCTGAGCTCTCAGCACCGAGCCTGACACAGGGCTCTAACTCACAAACTGTGAGATCATGACCTGAGCCGAAGTCAGATGCTTAAGTGACTGAGCCACCCAGGCGCCCCAACAAATTTATATGTTTTAAACAGTGACCCAATTTATTAACAGTATGTCCTGTAGAAAAACACAACACAGAGGTCAGTTTGTGTTATTGGAATCTCGTGCTCATGATAGGACTATGAAAAGTATAGTGACTATAGCTCAAAATAGCCTTTGGCTTAATTTCATAGTTGTGTAACACGACATGAGTAATTTCATACACTTCCAGTACAGATTTTGTTGTCTACTTTAGCATTTTATACCTTCTTTTGTGTTTGCTGTTTTCTCTATCCTGGAGGTATCTAAGGATACGTTAACATATCTATTTTTGCCAGGGGTGAATTGAGTGACACCACACATGCCCATATTTATATAAAGTGTATCCTAGTTTTATACAGGAAATTCTTTTTTTCCCTTATTCCCTATGCCGTACTTTTCATTCCTGTGACTTACTTATTTTATAACTGAAAGTTTGTGTCTCTTACTCCCTTTTATCCCCCATCCCCCTTCCCCTCTGCAACCATCAATTTGTTTTTTGTATTTTTGATTCTGTTAACTCTTCTCCTCCTCTCTCCCTCCTCCTCCTCCTCCCCCTTCTCCTTCCTGTTATAAGGAAATTCTTTTGGGGAGGAATTGCAAACATATCATCTGAGTAGTGAATTCTTGGTGGAGATTCTGTGTTGCTGCATTTTGCCACTAGAGGGTAGCATCAGCTGTTTTCTTGTTTCTAGGTGTGTTTTTCCCCCCTGAAAATCTGCAGCTGGCTTTCTCAACCTTAGCACTATTGATTTTTGGGGGATAGATAATTATTTGCTTTTGGGGGGCTGTTTAGCAGCATTCCTGGCCTTCATCCACTAGATTTTTACTGTGATAACCAAAATGTCTCCCAGGGGGATAAAACCATTCCTCAATGGGAACCACTGATTTAGGAGGTGTTTCTTGAGCAATAATTTTCACACTTGTTGTCTCAGGACCCCTCTAGAGTCTTAAATTATAGTGAGGACCCCAAAGAACTTCTCTTTATGTGAATTGTAGCTGGCAGTATGTACCATATTAAAAATCAAAACTGAGGGGCGCCCGGGTGGCTTAGTCGGTTAAGCGTCCGACTTTCGCTCAGGTCATGATCTCGCGGTTCGTGGGTTCGAGCCCCGCGTTGGGCTCTGTGCTGACTGCCAGCTCAGAGCCTGGAGCCTGTTTCAGAGTCTGTCACTCCCTCTCTCTGACCCTCCCCTGCTCATGCTGTCTTTCTCTCTCTCTCTCCTCGAAATAAATAAATAAAACATTTAAAAAAAAAAAATCAAAACTGAGAAAAATCGAGTATTTATGGATTCATTCAAAAAACAATAAACTCATTACATGGTAACATAAATACCATATTTTTATATAACTATGTTTACATAAATATATGTAATTATGTGTAATAACTATATATGTATATATAACTAAATAACTTTTCCAAAACAAAACAAAAAATTCATTTAGAAGAATGACATTATTTTGTATTTTTGCAAATCTCTTTAATTTGCTGTAGAATCTCACATCATGTAGCCTCTGGAAAACTCACCACGCACCTGCAAGAGTACAGACATAAAAATGAATAATGTCTTACTATTATTATGAAAATAACTTTGACCTTCCTGTCTTCCTGGAAAGGTCTTAGACCACATTGTATAACTCTTTAAGTATAATTACATGAAAAACTGACCTACCATGAGTTTCTCACATTAAGTTAGTTGTTTTGTGGACACAATTTTATATTTATTATTTTTTCTTCTTTTCAGATTTGTATTTAAACCCTAGTTACTTAACATACAGTGCAATATTGGTTTCAGGAGTAGAACATACAACACCCAGGGCTTATCATAAGCGTCCTCTTTAGTCCTTACCCCCATCTACCCCATCCCCCACCCACCTTCCTCCATAAACCCTCAGTTTGTTTTCTGTCTTTAAGTGTCCCTTATGGTGTGTTTCCCTCTCTTCCCCTCCCCTCCCCTGCCCATATGTTCATCTGTTTTGTTTCTGAAATTCCACATAGGAGTAAAATCATATGGTATTTGTCTTTCTCTGACTTATTTCGCTTAGCATAATACACTAGCTCCATCCACGTCGTTGTAAATGGTGAGATTTCATTCTTTTTAAAAAAATTTGTTTAATGTTTTATTTATTTCTGAGAGAGAGAGAGAGACAGAGAGAGAGAGCATGAGCAGCGGAGGGTCAGAGAGAGAGGGAGACACAGAATCTGAAACTGGCTCCAGGCTCTGAGCTGGCTGTCAGCACAGAGCCCGATGCGGGGCTCGAACCCACAAACCGTGAGATCATGACTTGAGCCGAAGTCAGACACTTAACCGACTGAGCCACCCAGGCGCCCCGAGATTTCACTCTTTTTCATGGCTGAGTAATACTCCATTGCGTGTATATACCACATCTGTATCCACGCATCAGTTGCTGGACACTTGGGCTCTTTGCATAGTTCAGCTGTTATTGGTAATGCTGCTGTAAACGTTGGGGTGGTATTTTGTTAACTTTAAACTCTTCCCCTTCAGCTTCCCTTTTGGAAATAAAAACATCGACTTCCAGAAGATGACTTGTAATTTTTATCGCATCCGACGTATCTCTACACCTTCATCTGTCACAGTGCGGACCAATTTTGTCTTTGCCACAAAATGGATTTGGTACTGGAGGAATGAGTCTGACAGATGGGTTGAATATGGGGAGAAGGTGAGTACCATTCGTCCTTGTGGAGGCTTTTGTTTAAACTTGACTACTTCAGAAAAAATATTAATAAAACGTTTGAGACCTATGTGGTTGCCCGTGGAGTGTGGGTGTGGTTGAAGGAGTGCTTTTTCACATTATGCACAACTGTATTTGCATATTTTGTAGCAAACATACAGTCTGATCGCTGTCATAAACGACAACAGCTCTTAATTATTTTCTTTTTTTAAAGTTTATTTATTTGAGAGAAAGAGAGGTCGAGGGGGCAGGCTAGAGAGAGAGGGAGAGACAGAGGACCCCAGGCAGGCTCTATGCTGTCAGCGCAGAATTTGATGGGAGGGCTGGAGTCCACGAGCCATGAGATCACCACCTCAGCCAAAATCTAGAGTCAGACACAGATTGAGCCCCCCAGATTGAGCGCTGCCCCGAGAATTACTCGTACATGTATTCGATACTTTATCATCATTCCCTTCGATAATATATTTTCATGGATGTTTTTCTTTATTTTTGTTAACATTTAAAAAATCTGTATGGCATGACAAGAACTACTTACAGGGGAGATAAGCTTTCTTTCTGTGTGAGGGTGATACTGTGATGTGAAGAGACTAAAGCCCAGCTAGTTTGTCTTTTTAGCCCCACACGGACTGCTCTTCAGGACAGGGTCGCGTTTGTGGTAAGGTGTACGTGACCTCATGTGAACCGCGTGGTCTGAAGTGTTAACAATCAAGTGGATTCCTTAGTTAAGACCAAACTTGTTTGTCCCTGACGTGTTCTTCACTTGGTGTTTAAAAGAAAAATCTCGGTTAGAACAACTTTCACCTTCTAGGATCTGCTTTTTAAATCTTCTGTTCCCTATAGTTATCAGCTGCATGTACCAGGCTTCTAGAAACTAGTGTGTTAAACTTAACCAACTTGATGGGAGTAACTATGAGGACTGTTTTCCAAAGAGAAGAGCGTTGTTTAGAGTAGCAAAATTCAAAACCTGCCTAGGCGGGTTGTAAAGCTGTTGGAGAAGTGACTCCGCAAGTTCCATGAGTGGAAATGTAGTGCTCAAGCCACGTTCTGCTTTAAAAGGTTGTAACAAATACAAACGAATTAAAAAAAGTTCTGTGAAAATGTTTTGTGTGTGGGAAGCGGAGTTCTAGGACACAGGGTGGCTCCCAGATTGTGAGAACTCGGGTTTGCCCATGCTGCCTGCCAGGAGACGGAGGGCGGTGGTGAACATTGCTTCCCTGAATGTGTGCTCAGGTGGTGGCTATGGGGTTGGGAGCATATTCCAGAACCACATGGAAGAGAATGGGGCAATCACGCAACATGGGTTCTGTGTCCGATGTTCCATTTCCCGATAACTCCTTTCTCCTTGGGATTTTCATGTCCAAACTGCTTTTCTGCAGTATTTGTAAGACCTGCGTTATGCTCTAAATATAGCTCCTTAATACCTTTAAAAAAAAAAAAAAAAAAAAAGCCCCTCTTGCGATTGAATTTTTAATACGAGTTGGGGCAACTGCGATTTCTGGGTTCGGAGCTTCCCGGATAGAAACTGAGACAACATCAGCTTTTGCCAACCAAGGGCAGATGCCTCTGCTTTGACTGTGAACTCTCTGGAATGTAGACTTGATATCCTTTTAAGGAAGCTGAGGTGTTTAACCAGGACTCGCCCTATGTGGATGGTAGACTGGGAGAGAAGGTGGTGGTGGGCGAGCTGATGACTGAATGGAGGAGCAGGTGGGCGGCAGTCGTGCAGGACAGAATGACAGCTGAAATGACTGGTGGGCGGGGCCTGGTTGTGATGGGTTTGCATCAGGCAGATCCAGACCCGGAGATGTTTACCAGCTGGTGTCGCTGTGACAGCTGATATAGAGGAGCCTGAGAGAACCGCCCAAGGCAAGGGCATCCCTTAGCTCTAGAACGAGGTGGTAATCCAGGCACAGGACAAAAGCCAAGACCTGGCTACTGCAACTGAGATACACATTCACGTCTTTGGGGAGAAAAAATAATTGAAGACCCTACCATTTACTCCTTCATTCATTCACTTAATCAGAACTGGAGTACAGTGGGAGGGAAGGGCCCGAGGGAGGACCAAGTGTGAGGCATGCGAGGCTGTCCAAAACCTCAGACACTGAGATGGCCTTGGTGTGTCCAGTAGGACAACCACTAGCCCCTGGTGGCTATTTAATTTTAAACCTCAATTAGTTGAATTTGAATAAAATGAACAATTCAATTCCACGGTCATGATAGTCACCTTTAAGTGCTCCGCAGCCATGTGTAGCTAGCGGCTAGCACGCAGGAAAACACAGAGCACATATCCAGTGAAATGTTCCAGAAAGTTCCAGTGGACGACGCTGATCTAGACCCGAGAGTCTTTTTTTTTTTTTTCTCAAATAGTTTATTGTCAAGTTGTTTTCCATATAACACCCAGTGCTCATCCCCACAGGTGCCCTCCTCCATGCCCATCTCCTCCCTCCCCCCGACACCCATCAGTCCTCAGTTTGTTCTCAGCATTCAAGAGTCTCTCATGGTTTGCCTCCCTCCCTCTCCCCCACCATTTCTCCCCGTCTTCTCCCCATGGTCCTCCGTTAAGTTCCTCCTAATCCTCCAATACATGCAAACATATGGTATCTGTCCTTCTCTGCCTGACTTGTTTCACTCAGCATAACAACACCCTCAAGGTCCATCCATGTTGCTACACATGGCCCGATTTCATTGTTTCTCATTGCCATGTAGTATTCCGTTGTATAGATAAGCCACATCTTCTTGATCCATTTGTCCGTTGATGGACACTTAGGCTCTTAAAATGTTTTGGCTATTGTTGAGAGTGCTGCTATGAACATTGGGGTCCATGTGCCCCTATGCATCAGCACTCCTGTATCCCTCGGGTAAATTCCTAGCCGTGCTATTGTTGGGTCATAGGGGAGTTCTATCGTTAATTTTTTGAGGAACCTCCACACTGTTTTCCAGAGGATCTGCACCAGTTTACATTCCCACCAACAGTGTAGGAGGGTACCCGTTTCTCCACATCCTCGCCAGCATCTAACGTTCTCTGATTTGCTCATTTTAGCCACTCTGACCAGGGTGAGGTGGTATCTCAGTGTGGTTTTGATTTGTATTTCCCTGATGAGGAGGGATGCTGAGCATCGTTTCATGTGTCTGTTGGCCATCTGGATGTCCTCTTTGGAGAAGTGTCTGTTCGTATCTTCTGGCCATTTCTTCACTGGGTTGTTTGTTTTTCGTGTGTGGAGTTTGGTGAGTTCCTTATTTTGGATATTAACCCTTTATCTGATATGTCATTTGCAACTATCTTTTCCCATTCCATTGGTTGCCTATTAGTTTTGTGGATTGTTTCCTTTGCCGTGCAGAAGCTTTTTACTTGATGAGGTCCTAATAGTTTATTTTTGCTCTTGATTCCTTTGCTTTTGGGGATGTGTCAAGTAAGAAATTGCTGCAGTGGAGTAGACCTGAGAGTCTAGTGGTTAAAATCCGGTCCACAGACCAGCAACACTGGCACCTTGGGGGCTCTTTGAAATACAGGATTAAAACTCACTTTCCTGAATCTTATTCTGCATTTTAAAACATTTCCTGGGTGATTCACATACAAATTAGAGTTGGAAAGGCCCTGGCCTAGACTTTCAGTAAATTCCTTCCAGCCTGGCCCCGGGCTCTGCAGAGCTGGGCTGGCAGTCAAAGGACACTTGGAGAAGGATATCCGACTTAAGCTGTCTTAATGGGAAATGAGAACAGAGATTGGCATTGGCAGACCAGGGTCCCCGGAGGTGACAGACCTGCCTCGCTGCTCTGCTCCCTGTGTTCACAGGCGTTTGCCCACGTCACTGCTCTTTGGGGTCCTAGGAAGGCATGCGATTTACCCAAGCCGTCATCTAATCATGGAAACCTCATTTCCTACTGCCCGCCGAGGATGGCAGTCTCGTTTACAATTATCCTGATAGATCACGTCCCAGCAGCTGTTGCAACAACCATCTTTACAGGGTGGTTTAATTGTTGGATGCTGCCATGGAGAAAGTTCTGCTATAGTTAGCCTCCTTGTCACTTCCACCCATCTGTTCTGCTGCTACCTCCTGAGCCACAGTCTAGTTTATTCCCGCTGTGCACGGTGTACAGGTATTGGGACGCAGCTTTCCTGCCATTCCCGTATTCCTCTCCAAGCTAAAGTGACCTAGTGCAGGCCCTTCTCCGTCCAGGACATTTTCCTTGGAGGCTTTCATCGTGGCCCCCTCCCCTTACATCCGGCAGGCATCTTCCCTGGGGAAGGAGTAGGGGTATGTGTAGCCCAAAGCTGCAGAATCCAGAGTGTCCTTAAAGAGACTGGTACTACTTCCCAAATTCCCAACAGGAATTTGCTGTCATTAGCCCCACCAGTTTAGAGCATGCGGAACAAATGTCTCCTTGCCATTAAATATTGGGGACCCCTACTATTAAGGCTTACATCCAGTCTGCCCTGGTCTGCCAGCCCTGTGTTGGGTGGGGACAGTGGGATGGTGGCCTAGCTTGTCTTCTCACTAGAATTCACACGCTTCCCTTTACCCATCCATTCTGATGTTCAGACCCTTCATAGAGGCCTTGAGACCAGAGATGGTATCTTTAAATTTTCGGGGCTGGAGGGCGGTATCCCTTGCCTCTTGCATTACAGCCCCAGTGAGTGGCAAATCCAAGTCCTTTTGCAGCATTGTTGATTGAGTGGAGGGTCGGTCCAGTTTATGTGCTTACTCTGATTCAGGGCAGAGGAGAAGGGGGAGGTCATTAACATTTGGACAGCCCTACATCCCCTGGAACTTCCTTGCCTTTAGGACAGCTTGAAACTGCTTTCTTGCATGTGATGGGTTAAAAATAACTACGAAGTTCTACACCATGCCTGAGTGTAGGATTCTGTTAGACAGCTAGGGCAAACATAATTTCCGCACTGTGGGTATAAGGCGCTCCGTACACGGGGTCATGTTTTATAGAAGGTGTAAAAAGAATATTGCCAGGAGCTCTAGTTTTCAGGAACCCATCAAGTGTATAGTCCTCTTCTGCCGTGTAGACTGTTTGCTTCTAGCTCCGTGGTGGGAACGCTACAAGAGAATGTGACATGACCCCGACCTGGCAGCCTTTACAGCCTGGTTTGGGGGGCAAGATGCATTCCTGTTTAAGTCCCATGGCTAAAATGCGATTGTATAAGATGTAATGAGAGGTTCTTAAAAGCCTACCGTCAAGTGTCTTTACCTTTTTTTTTTAAATTAGGTTGACAAAGAGCAAGCCGCAAACGTCGACTCTTCGTACCTGGAGTCTTTCTTTCTATGTTATCCGAGGGGAATTGTGCCATTTCAGGCAGGTTCACGGAGCTACGAGCTGAGTTTTATGGGTAAGACACTGTGTTTGGTAGTGGCGCCTACTGTTGGAATCTGGCGTGGGATGTTCATGGGGAAATGGGAGCAGTGGATGTGCATGCTGTATACAGGGTCAGGGTTCTTTTTTAGCAAGGCTCGTGGGATGGTGGTGTGGAAGCCAGTGGCTGTCAGGAGACCTATGCTCGGAAGCCTTGGCTCTGACAACACAGTAGCTATGTAACGCTGGAAACAGCACCTGGCCTGTCTAGGCCACTGCTCCCTCATCTGTAAAATGTGGGCATTAGACCTAAATGGTCCATGGGCGGGTACTGCCAGCTCTGCCGTTCTAAGTTTCTGGTTCTCGGCGGGCTGTTGCCCAGGCTGAGGCAGAAGTTCAGGTGCTGATGACTTTAGTAGAGACCTGGGGCCCATTGGTGCCTTCAGAATTGTAGAACCTTGCTGTTCCTTTTGGGCTTCATCATCTAGGTTCATGGTTTTATCCTTCACCTTTTCTAAAGACTCTGCCTTCTGCCATGTTTGTCTGAGCTGCCATGGAAAGGCTGTCAGTTTAGTTTCTACCAGTCTGTTTTGTTTAGTAAGAAATCAGGGCAGGGAGTGCCCTCCCTCTGAATGTACTGTCCCTTCAGCTGCACCCCTGGGACACTCCCTGTATATGGTTGGATAGTTGCCCATTCAGGATCAGCCCTACAGGTGCTTTGAAAAAAGGTAAAGAAGATTTTCTTAGGTCCTTGACATTCCAGGTGGTACCTTAAGATTTGGGCCCTGTACTGGGGTGCCTGAGCGGCTCGGTTGGTTAAGCGTCCGACTTTGGCTCGGGTCATGATCTCATGGTTCGTGGGTTTGAGCCCTGCTTCGGGCTCTGTGCTGACAGCTAGCTCAGAGCCTGAAGCCTGCTTCAGATTCTGTGTCTCCCTCTCTCTCTCTGGCTCTCTCCTGCTCATGCTGTCTCTCTCTCTCTCTCTCTCAGAAATAAATAAAACATCCTGTACCAATTGCTGTGTGTTAAGCCTCCAAAGACCATTATACCAACGACTGTATTTTGGAAAGCAATCTGGTTATACATATCAAGAGATACTAATTTATGATTGCTTTTTCATTGTGTCAGGAATCTTTCTAAGGAAATAATTCACCAGAAGGGAGGAAAAAAGTCTATGAGCATGAAGATCATTATTAAAGCCTATTTGACATGCTATAGTAGAGGAACCCTGTAGGGTGGTCAGATAGTGACTAAAACAAGGGTATTAAATTTCAGTGGAGTATTGGTTAAAATTATGATTATGAATACCATGCCGTAAAGTAAAAATTGTTAAATGAAAAAAGCAGCCCGCAAATTTATGTTTGTACTTTTCCTCTATAGATGTTGTATTTCAAATGTTTATTTATTTGATCGGGGGAGGGGGGAGCAGAGAATCCTAAGCTTGCTCCTAACTCTCAGTACACAGCCCGACATGGGGCTCAAACTTATGAACTGTCAGATCATGACCTGAGCCGAAATCAGGAGTCAGACACTTGACTGACTGAGCCACCCAGGTGCCCCTAGATGTAGTATTTCAAATCAGTTTTTTTTTTTTTTAATTTTTAAAAAATTTTATTTGAGAGACACAAATGGGGGATGAGTATAGTGGGAGGGGGAGAAAGAGAGAGACAGAATACCAAGCAGGGAGCCCGATGCAAACTACAAAGATACTCCAGCAGAAGCCTTTTCATATTGTGTACTTTTTTCTTTTTTTTTTTTTTTTTGAGAGAGAGAGAGCCTGTGAGTGGGGGCTGTCCGGGGAAAGGGCAGAGAGAGAGAGAGAGAGAGAGAAAATCTCAAGCAGGCTCAAAGTCCAGTGTAGAGCCCAAGGCGGGGCTCGATCCCATGACCCTGGGATCGTGACCTGAGCCAAAATAGAGTTGGACCCTCCACCGACTGAGCCACCCAGGTGCCCCTCAAATCAAAAGTTTTTTAAAAAAATTTAATATACACGGTAAGTGCAACAATGTGTGCACGTGTCCAAGACCAGAAGGCAATAGGAAGGAATAGAAATCTCTTCCTTTGGGTGGTGAAATTAAGAATGACTTAAATAAAAACAATTTTTCTTTGGGTATTATTCTATGGTTTTGGCAATTTAAATGGTTGGTGGATAGAGAGGAACCAATAACATGCCTTGGTCCCAAATCTGGAGAAATGTGACCAGCAATCTTGTTCACTTGGTTCATACAAACTAGTTCAGAGCCGTTTGTGGTATTCCAGGCTCTTTTTTTTTCCCATTTCTGATGTTGTCATTCATGGAGCGAGTATCAGAACGCCAGCCATGTCGCTAGGCACTGTTCTGGGTGCTGACGTAGCAGGCAATTTCTGAAAGTGATACCAGCTCTGGGGAGAGTGAAGCAGTGTGACGAAGCAGCCGGAGAATTGGAGGAGTCCTAGGAGAGCATCTGCTTGTATCCCAGGAGGAAACTTTAGAAGGAAGGGAGCGCCAGTGCCCATGGGAAGGAGGGCCCCCAAGAGAGGGAGGAGCTGGCGCTAAGACTGTAAACTGCAGACGAGCTGGAGGTTTGAAAGGCCAGCGGGCAGGTCTGTAAGAGATGAGAGCCCCGAGAAGGTCTGGAGCAGAACTGTGGCGTGATCTCATTTGATCTTTTTATTTGTTTGTTTCACTTTACACCAACTATACTGAAGCACAATGGCTGCAATCCAGTGAGTCCATGTTCAATGTGTGGTTGGATGCGTGCTGACCGATGGCATGCAGCTGCTCTCCTAATGAAGACTTAGAGCACTCCAGTCATCAGTCCAAAAAGTACCTCATGTCCCTTTGCTGTCACTCTCTTCCCACCCCCATTTGCTGCCTCTATAGTTTTCTCTCTCCTAGAAAGTCATAGAAGTAGAATCTTATGGTGTGTACTCTGCACGTGGCTGACTTCTTTCACTCAGAATGTTCTTTAGATTCAGCTGTGCTGTTGCATGTACCGTGGTTCTTCCCTTTTCGGTGCCAAGTAATATTTCATCATAAGGCTGTACCTTGGTTTGTGTATCCATTCACCTGTTAGTGGGCAGTTTGATTGTTTTTTACTCTTTGATTATTGTAATGATTCTACTAGGAACATTCAAACGCCAGTCTTTGTGTGAGTGTAAATTTTCATTTCTCCTGGGTAAGTACGAAGGAGTGGAATTGCTAGATCACGTAGGCACAATGTGTTTAACTTTATGAGAAACTGCCCAACTGTCTTCCAAAGTGGCTATGCCATTTTATATACTTTCACTAGCAATGTAAGCTTTTACTTTTTATGTTTTTAAAGTTTATTTATTTATGTTGAGAGAGAGGGCGTGGGAGGGACAGAGAGAGAGAGAATCCCAAGCAGTCTCTGCATCAGCAGCACAGAGCCCAGTGTAGGGCTCGAATCCACGAACTGGGAGATCATGACCGGAGCTGAAACCAAGAGTTGCACACTTAACCGACTCAGCCAGTGATGTGCCCCAGACCATGATTTACTTTCTATTTTTTAATTTGTATTTTTAAATTATTTATTTATTTATTTTTTGATGATTTTTTTTGAGTGATTTTTAAAGAGCTCACTCTGGCTGCAACGTGGACCTAGGTCTACAACATGCATAAATTGAAAATGACATTTCACACTTGATCTAAGAAAATCCTTCGAGATCTAGCTACCATATTCCAACCCATGATCATTGTTGCCTGGCTTAGGGCAGCTCCCATGGATGATGTCCTGCGGTCCGCCTGCCCGAGTCCTCCCCTTTACTGTCTGACTTTGATTTAAAGATTAGATCAGTTGCCGACTGCTCATCTCATTACCTCTGTGTTTTCTGGGTCTTACCATAATGGCAGTGAAGGATACAGCTTTTTAATCATGAACAATTTCCATCCAAAAGGATTTTCTCGATTCTTACATGTCACAGTTCAGTGGTGAAGATTTGCTGTGTTACTCGCCTACGAAAAATAACAGTAAACATTTTCTAGAACTAATTCTCAGTTCTTGTTTGTTTTCTTTTTTTTTTGTCTAAAGGGATGATTCAAACAAACTTAGCTTCCATGACCCAAAAGGATGTTGTCAGAAGGCCAAAATTCATGTCTTTCAAGGATGTGGAGCAGATTAAAAGTGGGTTCAAGTAAGTGTTCCGAAGCACTGCTTGTTGGCAGAAGCTGGAGATGCTCACCCACTGATCCCACCAACGTACTCCTGAATCTGTTTCCTTGAAATCTTCCTGCTTGCATAACACTGCAGTTTCTTTTTGCATCCTCCGTGCGTGTGAAGCGAGCGGTACCGTGTGCCTGAAAGGGGAGGCGAGCCGGAAATCTGTCTCTCCCTCTGACTCACAAGGGACTTGGCGGGAACCTCGGATACCCGGGCCTCAGCCCCTCACTGTGCATGGCTGGATGGAAGGGGGTGGACCTAGAAATAATCAAACGCACCATCAGAGGGGCTTGTGTTCCTGTGAGTTCTTCTGCATAGCTTTCGTTTTGTTGAGTGGATTTGTAGAGGGCAGGCAGCTGAGGAAGAAGTGGAATGCGTTAGTTGCCTGAGCAAAGAGATTTGGACAATGGTACAGTTGATTAAAGGGGATTGTGTAGAGGAAATTTTGCGGTGTAGGATCCTGTGTCACCCTCCTCTGTATGCTCATGAAACTCAGTAAAATCGACATTGTTTGTAAAGGGTTTGGTTTTTGGAGTTTCCCCCCATGCCCCTGGGTGATACGTGGTTATGTGCAACGGATTTCAAGGTGGGTGTAAAGTCAAGCATGACTTTTTCGCAGTTGATTTATTTCAGTTTTTATCAAAGCAAGGTATGTGTTTTGCATTTGTTGGTAGATGTGTCTCTTAAGTCTCTTAATCTATTACATGTCTCCTTCTCTAGTTTTTGTTATTGTTTTTATTAAAACATTTTTGTAATGTTTAGTTTTGAGAGAGACGGAGTGTGAGCGTGTGTTTGGGGGGCTGGGCAGAGAGAGAGGGGGAGACAGGAATCTGAAACAGGCTCCAGCCTCCGAGCGGTCAGCACAGAGCCTGATGTGGGGCTCAAGCTTGTGAACCATGAGATCATGACCTGAGCCGAAGTCAGACGCTCACCGACTGAGCCACCCAGGCACCCCTTGTTGTCTTTTAAGAAACTAAGTGATTCGTCCTTAGAGAATTTCCCCAATTCAAAATGTATCAAACTGTAAGCCTCTGGGGTCATTAGATAAGAAATTTCTATGAGCTCATAGGCTTGTTGAAGATTGAGAGGCTTGATTAGATTCAAGTTCTGTTGTTGGTTAATGGTACTTACTATTTAACTGCTACTCTGAACTTCCTGTCACATCACAGTAAGAGGCACATAATGTCTAGTTGTCCTTCTTAAAAATTTTTAACAGTATTTATTTATTTTGAGAGAGAGAGAGAGCAGGGGAGCGGCAAAAACAGAGAGGGAGACAGAGAATCCCAGGCAGGCTCCAGGCACAGAGCACAGAGCCCGACTTGGGGCTTGAACTCAGGAACCTTGAAATCATGACCTGAACTGAAGTCGGACGCCCAGCAGACTGGGCCATCCAGGAGCCCCTAGTTGTCTTCTTTTTAGTGACGAAGATGAGAGGGGTTCTGGTCATTCCAGGCTGTCTTCTCTGTAACAGCGCTCCTCATCTGCTCTCTCACTCGATGGTTACCGTTGCTCCTGATGGTCACTGTTTTAATCCTTTATTTCATTAGGGTCACGAAATGGTGGCTTTCTAATGCTGTCAGTTCTGCGCTTACTAGCTGTGTACTGTCTGTAGAAGAGTTTTGCCTCCTGTATAGTTACCCTGAAATACGGTTTATCCAAGAAAGGCAGCACGATTCTTTCCCTGGTGTTTCTAATACACTTCAGTGTTTATAGTTTCATGAAGACCCTGTAAGACATCTTAATGCTCACGTATTAGATCCTTTGAAGGCTGAGCAGAAATATAAAAAGAAGGAATGCTCTTAACATATTTAATCAGTGGGAAAATAACATTAAGTTAATTTACCAAATTGTGGATGATGACTGCTTTTAAAAAACTTTTTTTTAATGTTTATTTATTTTTGAGAGAGAGAGACAGAGTGTGAGCGGGGGAGGAGCAGGGAGAGTGGGAGTCACAGAGTCGGAAGCAGGCTCCGGGCTCCGAGCTGTCAGCACAGAGCCCAATGCGGGGCCTGAACCCATGAACTGTGAGATCATGACCTGAGCCGAAGTCAGATGCTCAACCAACTGAGCCACCCAGGCGCCCCGGATAATAACTGCATTTTTAAAAAGCATAATTACTAGTACACGTGTGCCAGGAATGCAGGAGAATGTAATCCAAAATAAAATACAAGGACAATAATCTCTGGAAACCTTAGCTTAGTGACTGGAATTTCGGGATGAAACTCAGGCGTACGGAACAGGGAGTCAAGTGAATTCTTTCTCTTACTTGTAGCCATCAGCCGGCGCAGACCCTGTCAGAGCCTTTAACCTCGACATTATCTCCTCAGCAGGACTTTGGTTCGAATGAATATGAGGTACTTGGTTTTTGTTTTTTGGTGTCTAATTGTTTAAAACTGGGAGAGAGGACTTAGCTATAAATCTATGTGTTGGGATGAGAGAATGGTGGCTTCTATAAAATTCATGGATCAAGATTCAAGGGCATCCAAATGGTAACTGTGTTACTTTCCCTGAGAACAGCTACCCTCTCCAGGGCACCTCATTGTCCTGCCACACACGATCTCTTTCGGGCTTACCCTCGCAAGAACCCTATGAGATCTCTATTAGCATCTCTGCTTCATGGATGACAGAAGCTGGAAGTCAGAGAGTGAAAGTCTGTTAGCTGGACTTAAAAAGCAGGTTTCTGGGGGAGTGTACAAACTGCCTCAGCTCGTCACCTAACCTGATTGGGCAGTACTCTTTTCTAGACCATTCCACATCGATATCACGCTTGGGGTTTGAGTGCAGGCGTCTCTGCGTTGGTGCCTTATGCTCCTTCAGTACCTCTGTCTCTGCTCGAGCTTAAGGCAAGGCACTCAGCCGGGTCAGTGCACCAAATCTGACCCCTCCAGGGGGCGTCCCTTTGCCGTTAAGCATCGTGAGTTGCTGGCCATAAGTCAGCCTGCTCCAGCGGGCCGGGTGCCATTTAGTTCATTACTAGAATGAACTGCCAGATGTGGAAACCCTAAGCCAGCTTATCCCCACCTGCTGCTGGAGGCCTGGCAAGGATACTCCCTGGCATCAGGGGCCACATGGGTGGACACAGTGTACTTTAAATGCCTCCTGTTTCACATTTACTTTTTTTTTTTTTAATTTTTTCAGTTGTTAGAGATCAATCAGCAGACTCGAGAATATGCCATAGTAAGTGAGCATTTCAAAGCTTCTATGAAAAATTTCAAGATTGAAAACATAAAGAAGATCAAGAATACAAAGCTCTTGAATGCGTTTGAAAGGTTGGTGGCCATGTGATCAGGGCTTTTCTAGGGTTTTAAATGGAAAGTTTGAAAGGCTTAGTTATAAGCAATACTTTTTTTTTTTTTTTTTTTTTA